CAACGGCCTCTCGTCGCAGTATTGAATGGACTAATCTACGAAAAGGCATTATTGCCATGAAGCGCCCCATCGAAGAAGACATCTTTAATCACTAATTTCTGTTAAGCGTAGATGGCATAATCCTCGTCGGGGCGAAGCACGTTTCGCAGGTCAAGGAGGGTTCCGCTTACAACAAGAAATGGGAGGTATACGCAGCATGTTTTTGTACAGTCATAATTACATTTCGGTGTTTCTTACTTTGCTGAGCTAATTTTTCGCTGCCGATGTTTGTGACTTCATGCCTATGGGGATGATTTTATGTTAAACTCGGCATGTCAAGCAGCCCCGACGCAGTGGTAGGATTTAGTCAACTATTTTTTTAGCTTACTGCTGAAATCCAAGCATGTCTGCGATACGCAATAAGTAATTTTTCGTAAGATATGCTGCACGTTGGCAACACGATTTTGCACACGTTATTTTTCGGGCAAACTTTCAGTTGCACTGTGACTTGATAGCGATGAAGTACTCCAATCGTAGAGGTTATATTGTGCAATCTGCGAGGGCAAGCTAATCATTGATGAGAAATGTTCACTTGGTCCCAATCAAAAGTGCACGTGTGACCAAACTATACCTACTCAGATAACACTAGCTTTGTCACTGCGTATATGCAGTAAAACACTTGAATTGAATACGTGCAAAAAAAAAAACGCGGAATTTTCTCGTTTTTTTTTTGTAGCTTTCGTCACTCGGCTTCCTGAAACGATAGCGTTGTGTCAAGGTGTCTTTCGTTGTTTGAGAGCGTGCAGCCGACGTTTATCTTTACGTCACCAGATTCAGAACTATACAGTTCTTTCTAGTTTTCTACCTTACCTGATATGCTCCTAAAAATCCTAAGCAGTTCTGGAAAACAATTAACCCATCATCTATTGCCCCTTCATCGAACATTACACTACGAGACGAACAAAATGTTTCAATTCCCGAACACAATACTGCGCAAGTATTGAATGAAACCTTCTGTATTGTATTCACCATTGAACCAGACAGTGACCTTCCCAATGCCCTTTCTGTATGCCACCCGACAATGTCCAAAATTATATTTCAAGTCAATGGTATTTCCCAATTCATACACTCATTAAAGCTCGCTTTATCAATGGGTATAGATGGCATTAACATAAAAATATTGAAGAACACTGAACTTGCAACAAGTGTGATTTTATCTCACATTTTCAAGAAATCACTCTCGTTCTGGAGTGGTGCCCCAAGACTGGGAGGTAGGCAAGGTCATTCCAATCCCAAAGAAAGGTAACTCGCACTCACCCAAAAACTATCATCCCATATCGTTCACAAATGTATGCTCTAAAATAATAGAACACGTAATCTATTCCGAAATAGTCAAGTTTCTCGCACCTCCTTATTTTTTTCATAAAAACCAACATGGCGTTCAGAAAGGTGTTTCATGTGAAACTCAACTAGCTCTGTTTAGTAACGACGTTAGCTCTAGCATTGATGTATATATACCTGCAGATGCACTCTTTTTAGACTTTGAGAAAGCTTTTGACAAAGTTCCTCATAAACGATTGTTCCTAAAACTTTCCTGTCTGAACCTTCACCCATTAGTTTTCGTTGGATTTGTGACTTTTTAACTAACCGCCAGCAGTTCGTTTACGCTAATAATCTTTCTTCGTCTTTACGCCCCGTCATTTCAGGTGCGCCTCAAGGCACGGTTCTAGGACATTTGCTTTTACTCATATGTATTAACGACTTGCCGAATAGTATTTCCTCTAACATCAGACTTTTCGCCGATGATTGGGTCTTTATCGCCCAGTTAACAACACATCAGATGTTCGTGAACTTCAATCTGACCTTCATAAGATCGAAATCTGGTGCAAACTGGTTAATGTCCCTTAACGCAAACAAAACGTCCCTAGTCTCTTTTCATCACCAACAGTATTACCTATCTCCCGCATACTTCATCAACAACACTCAAATTTCATGTTTAACTAAATAAAAATATCTATGTGTCCATTTTTGTTCTGATTTAACATGGTCTCTTCGCATATCGCACATTACTAACGAAGCAAACCGTGCTCTTGGCTGTCTGCACCGACACCTTCACCTAGTTCCTACTTCTGTCAAACTACTCGCTTATCAGACACTAATCATACCAAAACTTGAGCACGCATGCGCTGTTTGGGACCCTCATCAGAGTAACAATACTAAAACACTTGAAACAGTGCAAAACCGCGCGGAAAATTCATCTTTTAAGATTATTCATATCAGTCAAGCGTAACCAAACTTAAATCTCGTGCTAACCTCGCCACCTTTTCCTCACGCCGCTGTGTTGCTCGTCTGTACCTGTTTTTCAAGTTCTATCATGGATCCCGAAGGGGGGAAACCCTTGAAGCTTGGCTCGCTCCGGCCGATATCTCTCCCTTGAAATGTGGGAAAGGTCACCGAGCATGTTGGGCAACGTTGATCCTCTGAGCAACGCTAATGTGTATGAAATCAGAGGATCAACGTTGTATGAATCAGAGGATCAACGCTGCTCCCGGTGCACACTTGACAACTGGCGAAAATGAGAATACTGCTTGTCACAGGCAGGCAGCTTCATCAAAGTAGCGTGGCAATGGCTGGCGCGGAAGAGCACTTTATGCTTTCAGTATTTCTGGCCTTTTCTGGACTATTTAATCGACCACTTCAATGAGCGCCTTAAAAGGCATCGCCACACCTTGAAGATGCTTTCTTCGCTTCTGCCATAGAATATTCCCGAACCTGTCACTCTTCCCACTGCCGAGAAGTTTACTGACGTGTACTCGAACATTATCTCAACTTCAGCATTGCAAGGGGAGTTAGCAGTATGGGCTGTGAAATG